GAAAAGCCAAGCATGGCACCATCACAAGAGCCCTGGGAACTCTGAGAGAATCCTGAGAACCTCTGACACATGGAGAAAACAAACAAAAATGAATGTAACTAAATTAATCTCCATAAAGTCGAAATGAATAGAGAACAGAGAAAAACTAAGAGGGGCTGCTGGACTTTTCACCCCAGGATCTGACTCAAAGAGATCAGGAGGTGTGCTAAGTGAGCAAGGCATCAAAATGCTTTCAACACAATGGTTACAGCCTCAGACAGACAAGTGCTAAGGCGCGGCGGCACCAGTGCTGATTAAGTTTAAAGTAGACGGTCTGTCTTTTCCCCCACCGGCCCGACTCGCTCTCTCATTTCCTCATTTTACTCCTGCCAAACCTGCTGAGCTCCGTCATGGCTGTAAGTGGCACTGGCTTTCTGACAGGCCTGTTGCGACAAAGATGGTAATCAGAGGAGGTTGGTATAATGGTCTCTACCTGACACACACAAACACATCCTTATTATTATTACAACAGTATTACAACATCTCAACATTCCCACGCTTCACCAGATCAGCAGTCCTGTGACACTTCCTGTGATTGACAGTTTAAAGGAAAAGAAGTGAGGGAGAAATGGATGGAAAAGAGAGTAATGATGTGCTCAAGCATGTTTTAACAATGACATTTTGCGCTCGTTCCATTTTTTTCTTGTTCTTGCTTTTATTCTTAATTTAGGGAAAAAACTAAACAAAAAAAACACCAACCCTTTTTAAAAAATTGTATGTTGAAAGGAATAGTTAAATTCAGTCAACATTTACTCACCTTACTTATCGTTACAAATTCAAAATTTTGATTTAAAGTACTGTTTGCTCTTTTTCAAATTTAAATAAATGGGCACTGAATGTTACACTTCAAAAAGGACACAAAAGCATAATAAAAGCATAAAAAGGGTCCATATGATCTTTGCTAGTCTGAGAGAAACGGAACAAAATTTAAAGGCACAACTCACATGAAAATAAAAATGTCAACATTTACTCATCCTCATGTCATTCCCAACCATGACTTACTGTACTTTCTTCTGCTGAACAAAAAATATATTTTGAGAAAAGTTGGTGACCAAACAGACTGCAGTTTTATGGAGGGGGTATGTTCTTCTTTGTTTTACAAAAGAAAGATATACACTAGGAATGACATGAAGGCGATATCTTAACTATCCCTTTAAATCATTTTTCACCAATTACCTTTTCCTTCAGTGAGTTGGTAACTGCTGTATAACTTTGAGTCACTGAGCTTGAGAACTGGATCAGTCTGATTCATGAACAAATCATTCAGACCTTTCTTGTGAATCTGGTGAACTGATTCATTAAGACGATTCAACTCAAAAGAACAGTTATGAATCAGAGATCACTATTTCTATTTTAAAAAAAAAAGAAAAGGTAATGTCGATGTCAAGATTTTCCATTAAAAAATGACTTGCATTTCTTTAGAATTGGTAAACAGTGCACAAATCATATAGACCACTTTTATGGTTATTTATTGGTCAATTCGTGGTTTTGGAGACAAGATAAACTTCACCTTTTGCGCTCCACAGAAGTGAGTAATTTGGGTGAACTCTCCCTTTACTAATGCTAAAAACAAGGGGAAGACACAAAGAAATTAGTGACATGAAGTAGGCTTCTAACAATCTTGAAAATGATTGTTACCTCTTCCTGGCCAGCTACACTTAAACCCTGTTCATCTTCCTGTCTCATGTCATCCATCACATTCAAAAAAAAAAAAGAAAAGGTAATGTCGATGTCAAGATTTTCCATTAAAAAATGACTTGCATTTCTTTAGAACAATTGGTAAACAGTGCACAAATCATATAGACCACTTTTATGGTTATTTATTGGTCAATTCGTGGTTTTGGAGACAAGATAAACTTCACCTTTTGCGCTCCACAGAAGTGAGTAATTTGGGTGAACTCTCCCTTTACTAATGCTAAAAACAAGGGGAAGACACAAAGAAATTAGTGACATGAAGTAGGCTTCTAACAATCTTGAAAATGATTGTTACCTCTTCCTGGCCAGCTACACTTAAACCCTGTTCATCTTCCTGTCTCATGTCATCCATCACATTCAATCACCTCACTATCAGCTCTAAGCGGCAGCGGCAGGACTGCGTGATGGACACGGAGCTGGAGGATTATGGGTCGCTGTGCTGGCTGCTGGTTTGTTTTGGCATTTCATCAGACAGTGAGATCTCAGTAGTGAGCGAGTCCTGAGCGATGGAGTCTGTCCCACTGGCCCTTTGTGTCTGAAGACCTGAAAATGCTGATGTGAATTAACTATTAAAGGAAACACAGGTTAGGAACACCTCTCTCTTCACAACCCTTTGAATAAGAAGTGTACAGAACTTAACTGATTGACATATTTAATGTCCATTTGGAGGAGGAGATGTTTCATAACAGCACAGGTTGTAAACTCATGTTCATCGACAGAATGAAACAATACAGATACATGAATTGTTGTTCAGAAGAGGCTTCCACAAAATTCATTTGAGACCATTTGGCAGAGGACAGACAACCAGATATAGAGGTATATTACTAAAATACCGGATTCAATATTCACTTTGCATATTTCATTTAAGAAAGACTTTGAAGCTTGACAAAAGTTTTGAATCTGTTGTGTATAGTTAAGTATGAAAAAAACAAAACAGAAATATATGAAAAACAAGGCATGGACAAACATAACAGTGAATCAAATAAACATTGCACCTTGATTTTGATTTGTATTTAAGTGGACCGTAGGACTAAACTAAACACAGTAACAGTACAGAGTGAGAGACTGACACTGCTTGACTGTAAACCATGTGTTAAATGAACAAAATGACAACAAAAGCATGCATTTAGTGACATATCTTTATCCCTTTAATGTCTGAAAAGACCTCACCCAGTTCACCCAATAAATGACGATTCTGTCAACATTTACACACCCTCATGTTGTTACTAGTGATGCACCAAAATGATTTTTAACAATAATACAGAAAAACTAAGTTAAATTAGTCATTTAGTCAAAAAACGAAAATAAAGTTTGGGTAAATAAATTTGGGTAACTTCAGGGTGTAATGTTAAAGCAGTCGTAGTCTTAGGCAGTGAGCCACCTCTTGATATTTCAAACTAATTTTACATTCTGCTACCTTAGCTTTCTTTTTTCTCACGTTGAAATGTGTCCAAACTGCCGACATGTTTACTCTGCTGTACTTTTCCACGTTATGTGCACAAAACAGATGGTCAAACGGCATCATCTGAGAAGCGCTAATTAAATGTCATTAATTCTATCAAGACGGTTTACGATAGAATCAATTTTGTTTTCCTGTTTCGGCCAAATATCTTGGGTTGCTGAAATTTCAGAGCATCACTAGTGGTTACAAATCCATTAAGTTGGAGGAGGTCTGTTGAGCACCAAAAATAATCAAGTACCATTAGTCTGCATGACTTGTGTTCAATATTCAAGCTATACAATAGAACTGAATTATGACAGAATTTTCATTTTTGAGTGAACTAATCTTGTCTGAAATGCCTTGTAACATTTGAGGTTACAATTTCACATTAATTTCAATGAGATTCAATTGTGGAAGTGCTGCTGTTAGACTTCCAAGACTCTTGACTAATCAGCTCATACGGAGTACATTCCCTCATATGTTCTTTCCAAATGCCTGCCCTCAACAACAGCTAGTCCTTGTGGACTGGGCAATAAAGGAAAATGGAAAATGGAAGGAAAAGGGGATAGAGGAAAAACAGAGAGATGAAAATGAAAGAAAGTAGTAAGCTTCTGCACACATCGGGTTATACTGTACATTAATAAAAGTTCTGTCTACAAGGACCCTGAGGCTTTGATCAGCCAAGAGCACTTACTAAAAAGGCTAAATAAATCCTCACAGCTCTGATTTTAATTAAAAAATCTCAATAGGGAATGGGCTAAAAAAGTAAAAGTCCAAAGAATATCAAAATATATTAATTTTCTATTTAAATAAAATCACTTTGGGCCCACTGAACATCACATGACCCCCCCCCCCCCAGTAATTTGGTTAATGT